GCTATCATAGTGGGTTCGGTGTGGGGGAAGGGGGGGGGGGGGGGGCGGGGGTGGGGGGGGGGGGGGGGGGGGGGGGGGGGGGGGCTCAGCCACCTCAAATTTTTTGGTTCATCCGAGGTGATATGAAAATTAATTTTGTTCATCCGGTACGGTAGAAATTTTTTATCAGTCATTCGTGACATGTCATTTGGCCTCTCGATATACAATCTTGGATTAATAACCAGAGGTAAAAGGTGAGCCGATTGAACTTGCAGTCGAAGGCAAAGAAAAATGTTTTTTTCGTCAGCAGCAGTGATTGCACCCAAAAATAGCATACTTTTAGACCTTTTGTGTTCATTTCCAGCTTCCTTAGAGGACTATTGGATTCATATTGATTATGTGCTCAGCTAATTTGAGCGCAAAACGAATAATACTGTTTGTAGAAAATGCAGGGCCGTCTCGAAGTAGTCAAGATTGGAGGAGTGATCAAAAGTTTTTTCACACCAGACATAGTTTTATCTTCTCTTACAGTTCAAAATACAACAATTTTTCGCGAAGTGAAAATTTTTTGCGTCGAAGGAGGCCACCATCGCGGCATTTGATGCAAATGATGTTTTTTAGAAGCAAAAAGTGATCAAAGGCGAAAGTTTTTTTAAACTAACTAGGCTTATGCAGCTGTTATTTTTTGGGAAGTGAAAATATTTTAAACTTATGAAAAACTTTCTTCGCTTATTTTTTTAAGAAAAAACGTTGAAATGATTCTTAGCAATCTGGTCTCCGAAGGTGGCCACGCTAGTGACGACTGCCTCAAAAATGAAGCTCTTTAGAAGGTAGAAAACAGTCAAGTCTTGATGAAACAATTAATAACAAATTGTTTTGGATGGATTACATTGATGTGGTTGTTACCTTTTCACGAAATGAAAATTTTTTGACATTTCTTTATAGTTTTCTTTTAAAAACTATGGTTTAAACTCGGTTTTGAGTAAAAACCAGCTGATTTCTTCGAGTTGCTACAAAACTTCATACGTTCTATCGGCATCTCCACGACAGTTTTCGATAAATGGGAGAGGATCACCCCTAACCCCTCGCTCTGGACACCCCTGAGAAAATGTTTGAAACTGCAAGTTATTCTTGATAACGGCGGTTCTTTTCGGAACTTAACAGTTTTCGTTATGGATTCGTTCTGTTGTCAGTGTTCTTTTTTGCTATATAACAGGTCTATAATATCTACATTCATGCCTATTAATTTCGTTTGCATTTATTCCTATGTGAAATCAAGGTTGTTTCTTTTTAATCAGCTCTCCACAGCTACTGGCAGCTCTTTGTTGAAATAAGTAGCTTTTCTTTGAATTTATGAAAAGCTATTGGGTTTCAAAATTTCCAGCCACTATTGCTGCCACTGACAAATATATATTGGATACATTCGGCTGTTGAAGACAGCGGGGACAGTTTTTGCTGTAGCTGTCGATCGATCCATCGGTTTACATCCTTTCTAACAAGAGAAAACAAAAAAACTGTTTTTTCCTACATAAAAAATAACGATAACAAGATGACTACAAAAAATGTTATTTTAACATGCAGTCAATTGTGATTATGATTAACTGGGGGACCATCAACAATATTCTTAAACTATTTAAAAAAGTTTGTCGACTGATAATATACATTAACCACCTAAATGTCTATTATCCGTAGCGTTACCTGGAAAAAATATCAAGAAGGGGAACTGCACGCTCCAAGTGTTTTCAACTCTATGCAAAAAGCACCACTTTTCGATGCTCAGAAATTTTTACAGGGAGGAGGGGGCTGAGACATTTACAGAGGGAGCTCAGCATCTCTCAGTTTCTCTGGTGGTTTCGTCACTATCCGTTACCCATTGCATCTCTAGGATTTGTTTTAATTATTGGAAAAATGCTGACCTTGTCAGAACAATACACAGCCTGCTGATTGACAGATTTTTCATCCTTTTGATCCACAATCACAGAGTGACTATACTTTGACCAAAAAGAGATAAATGTGTTCGGATATTCGATTCCAAAGACTAGTAAAAATCAATCAATAGAAAACATCAAAACGTTTTTTTCTCAGCTAAACTTAATTTTTTACCAGAAAAAAATGCACTTTTCAAAAATTTCGCCAAGGGGCTTGAAGGTCCGTAGGTGGGGCTCAGCCTCATCTAGCCCACCCTTGGCTCCACCACTGATCGTGGTAGCTCATTAAAGTTCTTCAAAATTTGGTTTTTATTGAATTTTTACTTCTAAACTCATCAGAGCGTAACGACCTCTTTGCTTTTGAATTATTTGTTTTGAATGTGTTTGGAGGAATTTATTCCTTTGAATTATTTAAAACAGATGATTCGGTGCAATGTTCTTTAAAGCCACCTGATGAGATCTTTGAGCAAGATCGAAACGAGTCGTGGTAGCTCCTTAACGTTCTTCAAAATTTGGTTTTTGTTGAGTTTTTACTTCTAAAGTCACCCAACCTCACCCTCACTCTCAAATCACCCCTCACTCACCCACCCTCATGAAACAACATATATCAGTGTACAGCGGTATCTTTTTTCTTATCATATAATTACATAATTCTCTCTCTCAATATGCCTATTATTCCGTATCTATCGTGCAAATCATGAATGCTTTGTACTCTATGGATGAGAACATGTTCATGAATCAAAATGATTTGATTAGACTCCAATAAATATTCAAAGAGTTCATCATTCAAAACCATTACTAAATAACTTATAGATTCATTGACAAATGTAGATAAGTGATTAATATACTGACACTTTTATCCTAGTTTTATTTAACTTATACCGTCTTGAAAACTTTTCTCACTGTTTCAAAATTTCATAATTCAGAAAATATTGATGATAGTTTCATTAAATCAGGTGTGTCCATAGATGAATTATCGGCTGCGCTCTTATTTTCGCTTGATTTTGTCCACGCTTTCAGTATTTGGAATGTAGCTACGCTTGATTGAGACACTATTTGTATTATTATTAGTACTAGTATGAGAGAGATTTCTCTCATGTGCATCCAATGTCATTAGTGATTTATCTCCGCCTGACATTGCATTGCTAGATGTATCATTGCCAATATGTGCTATTTTATGACCACCCAGAATAGCATCAACTTTCTCCAATCTTTCTTTTTTTTGTTGTAATTGTTTTCTTTTCGTTCGTACAAACACATCTTCCGCAAGGTATGAATCGACGAAATCACATTGTTCAATAGGAATACATCTTCAACGATCTTGTATACCAGTACACACATCAAAGTTACATCCTGCACGTAAATATAATGCAACATAATCAATAAACCGTTTTGTTAACACTTTCCAATAACAAAATATACTGATCAACATCTCTTGCACTGCTTGCTCGTCATTGGAAATTAACTCAAACATCAATTCATCGTCATCATCATCATCATCATTATCATCATCATCATCATCACCATCATCATCGTTCATCACCAAAGAGGTTGATTTTTCTCTAGCTGTTGCATTTGATTTTTGTTCTGCTAAACGTTCTTTAAATCTATTGATTGTGTTCATGTAATCATGGTTTATTGTATATGGATCATGCTTTTCTAGTCGAATTAAATCTTGCAATTGATCATATAATGCTCTTTTTTTTCCATTCAGATATAAAATAACAACATCACGAAAAGTTGGTAACAATTTTGTTAACAAAATATCGTCTCTGCATGCATCTTGATCCTTATCCAATAATAAGTTGGATGTTAAACGAAAGCATTCGTTGATGAGTGTGTTAGTAACAAACCAAAGCTGATCAAGTTTTTCATCTATTAAACGTTTCAATACTGGATGTGGAAGAAAATTTGGTAGTTGTTCACCAAAACAGGCTGCCATAGTATCTCGAACTTTTGAATTATTTTTAGATGAAAATATCTCTCGAGTATATCCACTCATTATTTTCTCAAACTTGTTGAATCTCTCATGCAAAGTATTAATCAAACTGGCATGTTGACCATCAGTTGAACTTGAAAAACGTACTTTTAAAATATTTTCAACATAAAAATCAGCTAATTCATAGTATTTTGCTAATCTTGCAGAAGGCGTTTCTAAATCAGGCGGAAACTTGGATAATTGCTCATGAACTTCTTTTAGTTTAGTTTGTATGTCGCTTCTCATTTTTGGAAATGTTTCTTTGACACGATCAGAATATACACCCAGCTAAACGATTGATAACTACATTAATACCAAGGCAATGCCATCCAGCAATAGTCGAAGCTGGATGTTGATGAAAAAATTCCTTTTCACGTTTACGTGCATCTTCTAGAGTCATTTTTTCGTCTGTACTACGATTACGAACGGCAACAAATCCTAGAGTTAGTTTCTGTACATCACATTTTTCCATTAACAATTGTTGTACCAATATATCATGGTTAGAAGCAAGATCTGATTTTGTTATAACACCAATCATTGGGATACCTGATGGATCTACCTCACGTGCTAATGATAATGATTCAACTGTTGCAAAATCAACATTACCAGGAAACATGCATAGGATAACACTATCTGACTGACTGATAAATTTACGAATTAGATTGGTTGTTTGTTTGTGAATATCTTTTAGTTGGTCGTCTACAGGATTATGTGCTATAACAGGTAAATCAACAACTGTTAAGTCGCGTACATTAGGATCTTCAACTTGTAATTCGATTAAATCGTGAACAACATTTTTATGATCACCAGCTAATTTCTTTGTTTCTTCTTCAATATATTTCAATAAATTTAGTTGTGTTTCATCCAATAGGGTGTGGGTGTGGGTGTGAGTACTCGGTAACGGTGCCGACACCCACACCCCACACCCACACCCACACCCTTTACTAGTGTTGGATTGTTGTTCATTTATCGATGATATATTGTTGGTAATAACAATTATCATAATCACCATTTGAACCAAGGCAATCCGAATCTGAATATGCATATTGACTAATACGTTGTTTACATTTATAATTATTATCATCTGTTAACATAGTTGTCGTATCAATATTACTATCAATAACATTCGAGATTGTGTCACCAGATGATAATGATGTAATTGTTCCGACATTCGTGTTGGCCGGTAAACGACA